CGATTGAAGAAAGCACAGAGTCGCCAAAAGAGTTATTATGATGCAAAGCATAGACCCCTTGAATTTTCAGAAGGGGATCATGTATTTATCCGTTTGTCTCCGACTACGGGTGTTGGGCGTGCTCTAGGAGTGAGGAAGTTGAGTCCTAGGTTCATTGGGCCCTACCAGATTATGAAAAGGGTCGGACCTGTGGCTTATCAGCTTGCCTTACCTCCACATCTGTCAAATTTGCATAGTGTTTTTCACATCAGTCAACTTCGAAAATACGTGCCGGATGAATCCCACATTGTACAGCCGGACAATATCGAAGTAAGAAAAGACTTGAAGTTTGTTGTGGGACCGTTTAAGGTTCTAGCACGTGATGAAAAAGTGTTGAGAAACAGGACTATTCCCATGATCAAGGTACAATGGGAAGGATTGACTCCTGAGGACGCCACTTGGGAGCGGGAGAATGAAATTCTCCAGCGATATCCTGAGTTTGATGTCAGGTATATGTATATTTGATATTTGATTTTGTGGGCAAAATCCTTAAAAGGTGGGGTGAATATAATGACCCTAACTGGTAAATCTTAGTTAGAGATTTAATTTAAGGATTTAAATGCCATAATTAGATTCAGTGAGCGATTTCGAGTATTTTGACTGTAATCATGACTATGTTATGAACAGTGCGTTCTGCCGGAGAATTTACAGTTTTGTGAATTAACCGGTAGAGCTTAAAATGAGCAAAATAATTTTAGGAACATAATTTGAAAATTCTGATGACAAATATGAGTTCAGAACGAAAAATTGTATAGTCTGGCACTTTCCGTGAAAATCTCGTGAATAGTGTTTCTACCGGGTATTTTGTACTGCTGTTTAAGCAACCGGTAGAGTCCAGAAATAAATAATTGATGAAATAAGAATAAGAAAGTCCAATATATGCCAAGCAAGTCAATATAGGCCCAAGAAAATGATAAGTTTATAAGTTTTAAGTTTCGTAAGTAAAGGAAGTACAATTAGTGATGCACAGTGCATTTCGTCAAAAACGGTGCAAAAACCATACTGTGAATTATGAATATTGTTACTTAGGAAATAAAAATTAATTTAAATGACTTTAGAAAAATAAAAATATATCTGTAGCTTTAAGTTAAGTTCCGGGTCAATTAAGTAAAAATACGCGATAGAAAAACAACCGGGTAAAAGGGCCACATGTGCTTAAAAGCTTAAGTGACTCAAATGAGCACTATTCAAAATCAGCTCTCTCTCCTCTCTTCCTCAAAGAAGCCGAGCTGCACTTGGTGAAAAGGGGGGGTAGGGTTTGGTTCTTCATTTCTTTGATTCTCACTCCAAAGTTAACCAAATCACAAGTCCCACTACTTGAAATCGATGGGAAACCACCCAATGAGTCCATCCCACCCATTTATTTGAGCTATCATTGGTTGTGTGAGGAGATATTTCCTTCCCCAAATTCGTGTACTATTCATCAAGAGGGCAAAATGAAGTTTTTGATGGAGATTCTCTTGGTGTAGGTCTTCTAGGCTTTGGGTAGTTGATTTGAGGTAACAAACCTCTATTTCCATGATGTTGTTTTGATTATTTAAGTTATAAAATTGTGTATATGCCTTGGGTGGAAAAGCATGATGTGTTAAAATATGTATTGATGAGGAATAATTGATATTTTGATGTATAAAATGAAAATAAGCATTTGTATGTATGTAAAAAAAAATTAGAAAAAAATCCTATGATTTCCTCTACATGTTCGGCCATCATAGGTAAAGAGTAGGATGTTGTGCACAATTTTATCTTAAGTATTAGGAAGGTTTAATGTGTAGGAATTAAGTGGAAATTTGATAAATTAGTGAGAATGCCAAAGTGGGAACAATTATATGAAATATGCCCTTAGGTTTAGGCCTTGTGGGGCTTTGGAGGGACTTTATGCTCCAAAAATTAAGTTGGAACCTTATGAAAACATGTATTTGTTTGTATAAGTTACATGTAAGTGAAGAAAAAGAACCTTTGCCTATGTCCTTGTAGTGTTCGACCTATAGGGTAGTTAGGGATATATTTTGTACATTTTATTTTAAATAAAATGTGTTGTAATAAATTGTATAAAGGTGATGAGTTTTGAAGAAAAATAGCACGATTTATGTTGAAAATTCCTAAGGGAATGGTTGATTAAATTAAAGAACACCAACGGTTATAATGAGGTCTAGACTTGTGTATTGGCATAGGATTGGCAAAAATGCAAAGAAAGGAAAATAAGCGATAAAATGTATGCTTATGAAATAATTATGGTATTGCATCATTTTATTGATGCATTGTAAATTATTCTCTAGGTGTGCCTAGGGATTGAGAAGGATCGGAAATCTCTTGAAGCGATAAAAGTAACTTGTTCCACAAGTAAGCGTATTGGTAAAGCTTCAAGAGGTAAGCTCTATGTTTAAGGAGTCTTTTCCTGCTTGAGTGCTCCACCATGGTTAGTGAACTATGGTTGGACTGTATGACTGTGATTTAGATGCTTTGTATAGATGCATTCATATAGAGTTATTTGATAACATGATATGTTTTGCTCTGATATGACTTCTGTAATATGATTTCTGTAACAATCTCTGGCCATTGATTGTATAGTACCCGGACGTCCGCTTTGGGGTCCTCCCTCGGGACTGATGGTGTACTCCTCTGATATGTCTGGTTCCGCTTTGGGGTCCTCCCTCGGGAACACGTGCGTTGATTTCCGCTTGGGGTCCTCCCTTGGGAATGACGGCGCACATCTCTGATATGATATGGATATATGCTCTGTTCTGTTATGATATCTGTTATATGTTGTATTTGTATACTCTGTATCTGAATTTCATGCAGGAGTGAGCCAGGGGTATGGAGAATTCTCTATAAACCTGGAGCTTATTGAGATTTGTAATCTCACCCCTCTTTGGGGACACATTTTCAGGGGCCCAGATTTCCGGTGAGTCCTCACTAGGCAGGGACACGACACGTGGCTGAGGCAGTTGACAGACCGGATTTTGAGTGGCTGTAGGCTACTACCTTTTTGGAGTGTTTGATGTATTTTAGTATTTTCGCATTTGATGGATCATGATATTGATCCTTTATTTTGTATATGGCCTGTATATGTTTTGTACATGTCTATCAGTTTGATGCATGTACATTTGAGTATTCAGGAACGTTATATGATGATGTAGTATTCAGATAGGTTTATGTTTTGATGGCATGCTGTTAGATTTAGTGGCACGGAGCCATGTTATGCATGCGCCCATGTATGGGTATTTGATTATATTTGGATATCTGGTATTTCTGAATTGATATGTTGTATAAACTGTTTATCAGGAAATGCTTCTGAGTGGGATTGGAAAATCCCCAGTTGTCCGATTTATAGAGGAAACTCTGCCCGATTTTCGTTTACGCCGAGTAAGAATTAAGTTAGAAAAAGAAAAAGTTAGCTCATATTTTTGTAAGTTAAGTCTTCCGCTGTTTCTGTTTGTATCATATGTATGTTAATTGAACCGGCTCGAGACGGGGATGTTACATGAGAGAGAGAGAGAGCAAAATAAAATATAATGATAAACAATTCATAAAATTGTTTTTTATCTGATAAATAAAATCTAATATTGATCTTATCAACTAAATCTTTATTCTCTTTCTTAAGCTTTTATGTATCTCTAAAGATTAATATTTTATTAATAAAACCAAAAAGAAATTTCTTTTCAGGGATGATTGATCAATTTGTCCTTGCATTTTAAAAAATTTATCACTTTACATCTCTTCTTAAACTATATACTAATCAGTCTCTTTTCTCAAATTATGTACTAAACTGTTTATATTTCACCAAGTTTGACCAACACTTATTTGAAAAAATGAGTCATTTACAATTAAAAGACTTACCAAAAACTAGAGTTTGGTCAAATAGGAATATATTGATATATACTTTAAAAATATTGGCAATTTGTTTTTAAATACAAGAAGGTTGATTGTATTTAAAACAAAAAATATTGGCAAATTAATATATAATTCAGGAAGAGGGATAAAATAAAATAAAAATACTAAAAAAATGACCAATCAACCTTCTTTGCAGTGGTACTTAAAAATTAATTAATTTTTATACATTATGCATAAAAAAAATTAATTATTTATAATAAAAAAAATTGACGTGAAAAGGTGAGTTACACCCACCATTACTAATAAACATATGTACTTTTATTTTTTAAAAGTTAACGGGTCATTAGTTTTTTTTATACAGGAAAAAGTATTTCTGCGGCCACTTTAGATTATCTACAGCCACCATTTTCAATTATATTCTCCTGGAGAGAGAAAAAAGCAACTTTACTATTATAATTATATTCATCCGGGAGAACATAGTTAAAAATGGTGGCTGTAGATAACCTTATCTAAAGTGGCTGCAGAAATGTTTACTTCTTTTATATAAGAAGAACAATCTTGCGAAAACGGTAAATTCTTGAAGAGAATGAATTACAATTTCGAAGATGGCATGAATTTATAATTTAGGCTAATAAAAAAATCAAATTATTAAATAATATTTATTTATTTAAATTTGATTCGGAATTTTCTATTTATTTATTTTAAATATACTAACGGTACATAACTAATTTAGACTTAAAACTATTTAAATATTTTCACCATTAGCACAATTCTATAAATAACAACAACAATATACTAACGGTACATAACTAATTTAGACTTAAAACTATTTAAATATTTTCATCATTAGCACAATTCTATAAATAACAACAATAATAATTAATAAAGCAAAGAGTTATAGATTTACAAAAAAAAAAAAGCAAAGAGTTATAGATGGATGATAAATCATATTTTGAGTAATAATTAATGATCATAAATTAATACTATTATAAGTTAGGAAAGGGCATTTTGGTGAATGGGAGGATATAAAGTAATTTGATAAACATTGGAAGAAGCTTTATTAAAAGAAGCAGCGTTAACAACGGTCATCTCATTCTCTTTCATAACAGTGACGGCGGCGCAACCCACTAATGGCTGCGGCGGTCATCGGCAGGTTGAAGAGGGAACAATGCAATCGAACAAATCACGATTCTAACTTCTCACATTGGAAGGTTCACATAATCATATCTCACTTTACTATAATTAATAATGTCTTATGTTCGATGTGTCTTATGTTCATGCTTCTTAAACTGTATGTATGAATGTGTCAACAAAATAAAACGTTTCTTCATTCGTGTAGTGTGATAACTGTTAGTGTTTGATGAAATTGGTTTCAGATTCTGATTGGCCCTTCTGATTGGGAAGATTATTCCAAAGGGAAGGAAGGATCTGCAAGGTACAGGATTCAAAACCTCCCAGGAAAAACAGGTCCAGGAGTGTATGAACTTGGAATAGCTGTGTTGAGTAATAATGGTTTGGGGCGTGAAATTTACAAGCTTGCCACTGACCCTGAACGCATAGTTGTAGTTTACCTTGGACAAGCTGACAATGTAAGAGCAAGACTCCAACGTTATGGAAGAACTGGTGCTCATTTGGGGAATAGTTGTTCAGATGATTCTTCTCTTCAAAAGGGGAGGCCATTGTTTCAAGAGATATTTTCACAAGGCTTCCCTATCGTTTATAGATGGGCTCCTGTAAGTACATATCAGACATTTGATTTGCAAATTTTAATTTATAAGTTTCAATTGAACACCTCTTGATGGGTCCAGAAAGCTTGGTGACTGTTGGCTTCAGCATGTTATGCCCACTTCACAGAGTCCTTGGTTGGAGATATTTATTATTATATGATGGTATGATTTAGAGAAAGGTCTTTTGGTTAATCTGGTGGAGGCCAATTTGGTCACCATTCTTCTCAAAGTTATAAATTATCATGTTAGGATATCTATAAAATATCTTATATTATCGTATACTATATTTTATCGCGAGAGGTTATACTGCGTCTTTTTCTTACTATTTCTTACTACTAAATCTTAACCGTTGATTTCCGTCAATCTAACGGTTGTAATTTATTGGGTCATAGTTATTAATTAATTATTAATTTCTAATAAATTATAACCATTAGATTGACGAAAATCAACGATTAAGATTTGGTTGTAAGAGGTAGTAAGAAAAAGAGACAGTAAATATAACATCTCCCGTATTTTAAAATGATTTATAGTATCTTATAGGATCTCTTAAGATGAGGTTCTATATTTTCTTATATTTCATATTTTGTTTCCTTATTTGAAGAGTCTACAATTAGTATAAATAGAGATCAGGCTTTGTCTTTTGTATGACTTCTTATTACAATCAACATACAATATTTATTTAATATTTACGCTTTTTCTCAATTTATACCGAAATCCCTGTGATTTCTAACACAGCAATATATTGCTCGCGCATCATTGAACCGGCATAATTTCTCTGCATGAGCACTAGGTCATATAGATCAGTGTCTTTTATGAGAATTCCAGTTATGCCCTGTGTGTCTCTTGCGAGAAATACTGTTGGAGAAATACTGTTCAATAAATATAAACTTGATGTGAAGTGTTGCATTTTGTGAAATTTGGCACAGAAGATTGAAGAAATGCACATTAGCATCTTACAGAATAGATATATTAAAATGCAAATTTTTGATGCAGTACTGTTTGTTGAACAGATGCAAAACAAGGGAGATGCCCTGAGAACAGAAGCTCAGCTGCTCAGTACATTTGATTATGCATGGAACACAAGCAATAATGGGAACCGGAGGCCTGATGAAATTCTTCAAAAGCTCAACAAAATTGCTTCGGGTACTAGAACATTTTCAGATGTAGCCAGAGTGCTTCTACCTTTCACTCAGAAGCAAGTGGGTATCCGAATTAAATCAAGCATGCAGCCTCTGAAAGATGACAAATCAGATGAAGAATACAATGGCAACTATAATTTCCTATCTCGAGTATTCAAATTTAACAGATCACGTCCTCGGATAGTTCAGGATATCCCTGTGGTCATTCAGGAGAATGCTAAAATTTGTGGAGTGATGTTGGGTGATGGTTCTGTTTGTAGAAGGCCACCAGTTGAAAAAAGAGTAAGGTGTCCTGAACACAAAGGAATGAGAACAAATGTGTCCACTGCCAAAACAATCAGGGCACCCAAGTCTGAGAGCATTGTGGTACCAGAACACAATGTGTATTGTCAAACAAAGGGCAATGGCTACAGATACCAAAATGTCAGCCATGATGCAGAAGACCCTCCTCCACAAACAGTGGTTGAGAGTGCCGTTGATGAGAATAACACCAACACAAATATATGTGGAATCATCTTGAATGATGGCTCCACTTGTAGAAGACAACCAGTTAAAGGAAGAAAAAGGTGCCAAGAGCACAAAGGGAAGAGAATCAGTGCATCCATTCATATAAATCAGAAATAACTGGCAATTGGCAATGCACAATTTCTGTATAATGTAGTTTCAGAATCTGATAAAGGTGAAGATAAGGGCTATGCATACACCACAAAATGTACTCGTTTAGGCTAACACATAGAATCTTGTTACCAACAAACCATATGGATTTAGGTGATGGGTCAGCAAACCTGTTAAGAGGATGGGTAGGGTGAAAGGAGTGTAAAGGAATGAGTCGGTTGGCAGGTTCTTTAGATTAATTACTAGGGTAAGAAAATGTCCATCAAATCTTGTTGTAGTTATGTTATCTGTACTAGTAATAATTGTTTATCTTCATCAAAGGTGCCGGTTCTTCAGATTAATTACTATGGTAAGAAAATGTCCCCATTGTGCCAGCAGCACCATGCATATATATGCAGATGTCTTCTCAAATTTTCTTTCCTATACAAATAGAAGATTATAACTATTCAAACTGACATTTAAGCCATCAATCTCATTACGGCCAGAGTACTTATACATTCCCTATCAGTAAGTTAAACCCATCTCATTATATAATAATTACGAATCAATGGACTAAGTAGTTTATATAGCTGAGATTAAGAGTGACTTACAACCCAAATGCGTTCAACGAAAAAAAAAAAAAAATTTCTTCCTGTGAATGTTGGTTTGTGTTTATTTGAATACTATCCATTCATTAGTTAACTCGAGATTACTGATTAAATAAAAATAATATCTTATAAGTTGATTCACAATCACTCTTTTCATTTTGAAAATAATATCTTCTCTGTTGCATTACCCGATCAATTTTCAATCTAATGATATGCATCTAGGATTATCCTTAACCCAAAAAAATAAATGGAAAACAAAAATAAATTATAAAGGTAATTATCATAATTATACTTGAAATTTGTCAAAATAATAATAATAAGGGAAAACTAATCATGAGATAAGTTTTTTCTCTTACACACTCTTCGATAACTGTAGAAACTTTTTCTTTTATTTTCTTTTATTCTCTTTATATTTTTTTAGATGATAAAGCCCACAAGTTTATCTTGTGACATGAGATAACTTATCTCCTTTAACATGAGATTAATAAAATCTTAATAATAATAATAATAATAATTTTGCAATTTCTTTTTCCTATTATGAGGGTTTTGCGAGTCTTAAATTTCCGCGAGAAAACTACCCTATCGGTTCAATAGCAGATATTTTCTGCCATAGCAGAGTAGCTCAGAAACCATGGAGCTAAAACTTCACGCATCAATGGTTTCTCTGGTATCCGTTCCGCGCACAGAAAACTCCATCGTCTCGTCCCATTTCAAATTCGGAATCGCATTTCAGCCTTCGAATTACTATCTTACCCTCGCAAACCCATCTTCGTCTTCCCCCACACCTCCTTTCTGCACCTACGCGGTTCCCGACGCGAGCAGGCTTCATCCCCGCCGAAACGGCACCAACAAAGGTCGTTCCACTCCACCTTTACGGAAGGGGAGCCACTCCAATGAACCAAAGTTGAAGCTTGACGAAGGGGTCCATCAAAATCAAAACGCCCCATTTTCCAGAAGCTCGTTGAATGTCGACTTGCTGGGCTTGTGTGAAGAGGGTAAGCTCAATCAAGTTTTAGAACTCATGGGTCAAGGTGTTGTTGCTGATTATAGCGTTTATCTTGCGCTCTTGAATTTATGCGTGGATACAAGGTCGCTTGAATCGGGGAAAAGGGTTCATGAATTCTTGAGAAGAACAAACTTTCGAGGGGACATTGAATTAAACAACAGATTGATTGGAATGTACGGGAAATGTGGCAGTATGATGGATGCGCGCAAACTGTTTGATGAAATGCCCGAGAGAAACATTAGTTCGTGGCATTTGATGATTAGTGGATACACGGTGAATGGTCTAGGGGATGATGGTTTATTGATTTTTCAGAAGATGAAGCAAGCAGGGATACCACCTGATGGGGAAACTTTTGCATTGGTTTTGGCTGCATGTGCCCGGGCAGAAGCTGTTGAAGAAGGGTTCGTGCACTTTGAATCCATGAAAGAGTATGGAATTGTTCCTAGCATGGAGCACTACTTTGAGGTTATTAATATTCTGGGGAATGCTGGTCAATTGAATGAAGCTGAGGAGTTCATTGAGAAAATACCTATTGAGCTTGGGGTTGAGGTTTGGCAAGCTCTTCGAAATTTTGCACAAATTCATGGAGATTTAGAACTTGAAGATCGTGCAGAGGAGTTGTTAACATGTATTGATCCTTCAAAAGCCATTGCTCAGAAACTGCCAACACCTCCAAGAAAGAAGCAGTCTGGAATTAACATGCTAGAGGAGAAGAATAGAGTGAGTGAGTATCGGTATTCTATCCCCTATAAAGAAGAAGAAGCTCATGAGAAATTGAAAGGTTTGAATGGACAGATGAGGGAAGCAGGTTATGTGCCGGATACAAGATATGTTCTCCATGACATTGACGAGGAGGAAAAAGAGAAGGCCTTGCAATATCATAGCGAACGTTTGGCAATTGCATATGGTCTCATCAGTACTCCCCCGAGGACTACACTTAGAATCATCAAGAATCTACGTATCTGTGGAGACTGCCACAATGCAATCAAAATTATGTCAAAGATTGTTGGAAGGGAGCTCATTGTTAGGGATAACAAGCGATTCCATCATTTCAAAGATGGAAAATGCTCCTGTGGAGATTATTGGTAGTCTTGGTAAAAGTACTCGAGTGTAGATACTCTGATGCTATACTACTAGATTGTTTCTTTTGTACTGCCAAAATATTCAAAGTTCAAATCAATAGACTGGGAGATCAAAGAAAGTTTTGTTCCATCTATGAATTGACCGACATAGCTTCCCTCTGTCATACATGTTTGTTAGACTACAAAAATTGAAGTTTTATCTAAACAGTAGTTGGTATGATGCTGCATAATGTTTATCGTGGCTTCTGGTATAAGCTATGAAGTGTTCTTACTAATGTGCTTTTCTATGCGTCCTGATTTGTCTTTCTTTGAAATAGCATGGAATTTAGGTGGCATGTGCATCCTTTAGATGGAATCTGGAGAGCTTTTATTTCATCCCTATAATTTAAGAAATATTATGGTAGTAAGTAACACTCCCCGGATACGCCTTTCCTCCTTCCCACGCAAACATGAGCATGTTGTGATGTTGAATCCTGACGTACATACAACCCATTTTCTCTCCTAAGTATTTCTGTGGATATCTTATTGACATCTACGTATTAAATTAGGAATAAAAATAGCCAACAAAAATTGGAAGGTAATAGGAATCTGACGGTTGCTTAGAATAAACCAAATACAGTGAAGGAATATCACTATATCAAAAATTTTAAATCATCCTCTCTACTTGCACATTCAAAAAGTGCAATTTGTCTTCTGTCTGTATGTACATATTTTGACCTACCTAAACAACATACGTGTTGTTATCTCCTTAAATGATGAAATCAATGAGATCTGAGTCAAGGGATCATTCCTTGGTAAGGTGTTACAGAAATACATATCGTATGGTATTTGAAAATGGAATATAACCTCTATCTCGCTGTACAGCTTGAAAGAATGTAATGTGCAGCTAAAAAAAATAGATGAATAACAGTGGAAACAGAATGAGACCAAGAAGCCAGTTTGAAGCCTATGAGGAGTTAGGACTTAGGAGGGCTGGAATTTGAATGGAAGAATTTCGTATTATTACTGTGAGGATGGTTGGCTGATTCTTTTGTTGGTTATCACTTCAACTGCAGCTTCATCTCTTGATGGAACTCTCAGCCATGATTTCATAGTATCATAAACTGTAAACCCAATGGCCACAGATGGAACAACCTGAATTACAAAAATCAACACTTAATTATACAGAAGGATTCTAGACTGTTAGTTGCTTCAATATGCTATTACTTTCCTACCTTTATGTAATTGATGCTCAGCCCTGAAAAGAGTTGCTTCCAGCCTTGCTTTTGAGCTATCAAAATCATGGATCTCAGAGTCCCATTCAATTCAGCATTATCGGATGCCACTAGTTTTTGAACCTAGCCAGATGGTTATCAACTTTGTATCATGTTATTTGATATTTATCTATCATTATATGGATGACCAAATGAAGTTAATTACCTGCATTTGCCTCCTAACAACTTCAAGAGGATATGTGAAGGTCTGACCCAATAAACCTGCTACAGATCCACACGTGAGTTTTGCCATGATGCTTTTATTGTACTCCTCAGGGACATGGCGCTTCATTTCCTCATAGACGTAGAATTTCAAACCCGCGTATGGGAATATTCCAACGAGTGTTGGAGCTGTTTCCATGAGTAATACAAGAGTTTTACAATATCAGCACAACAGTGAAAATACAAAGCTAAGTTACTGACACCAGATATGAGAAGATTTAAATGCATACCCACTCCCCGATAGAGACCTCTAATGCCACCCTCTTTATAAGTTTTTGCAAGACAATCACGGATCCCTCTGTAAACTTGTTCATTATAAACCATCCCTGAAGCATTCAATTTTGTTGGACTAACAACCTGTAGTTTCAAATGCACAGTAGTTCCAAGAAACAATCAAAGACCTGGTATAAGTTAATTCCTCTTCTGCTTTCAAAAAAGAGAATGTAATTAATTGCTGATAAGATAGTTTACCTGATAAGCTAACTTAGTCCGAATTAAGTCAAGGGGATAAGTAAAAAGCACAGCTGTCCCTCCAGACAGAGACCCTGCCACAAGGTCAAGGGTAGGGCCTTTGAAAACATCAGGAAAAGTTAGCATAATCCATCTGCGGTATTCCTCATAGGACATATAATGAAGAGCTGCATAAGGAACAATCCTTGCAACACTTGCTCCATTTCCTCTGCAAATAAACTTATCAAGATGGTTAACTGATACAGCACCAAAGATTATGACTTGAAAGGTGAGGTTCTACCTGTAGAAACCCAAGAAGCCTTCCGTTTTGGCAATTCTGATAACTGATCCAGATAATCCACTGCTCTGAAACTCAGCTCTTCGGGTCTGCAAGGAATGATAATTCCAAAAGAGGGAAGAACAAATCCACAAACATGAGAACTGATGAAATGATAATTCAATAGGAAAGAATCAAATTTGAAGTAAACAGTAAATACAATGTGTTTTTGTCTGTCTACTTAGAGGAGTGAATCCATCTTCAATTTGAATAGTATTCTAAAGAACCTTGGATACACCACCCCAATGGGTGGAAGTGTCCAAGGCCTTATAAAATTACATTAGTTACCTACACAATCAATGTGGGACTATATATCTCAACACGCCCCCTCACACGAGAGCCCTTTGGACTTGAAGCGTAGACAATGCAACAGGCCCAGCCTACCTGTGCTAAGAAACGCCACAAGAGAAAGTGGGGGCGGCGAGGCTCTGATACCATGTAAAGAACCTTGGGATACACCACCCCAAAAGCTAGCTCAAAGGATGGGAGTGCCCAAGGCCTTATAAAGTCACATTAGTTGCACACAGAATCAACGTGGGACTATATATCTCAACAAGTATAATAAAGACCCCAATTGAAGGAAAAGAAAAGTCAGAAACGAAGTAAAGCTAGAATCTTTGCAATGATATAAACTGACCCACCTAATGGTAAATACCAAAGACCAAAAGGGGGGCAAAATGAAAGGTAAATAAAGAAAATAGTGAAAAAGACCTGAAAGAGAATTTTGACACGTTCGAGAGGAGCAACGACGGTCTTGGCAAAGCCACCGGCGAGGCCACCGGCAAGGAGCTCCTTGGCGAAGACGGGCATGAGATCGAGCATGGCCTTCCCTTCATCTTCTCTCTTGTTTTCCATTGAGAGAGAGAGAGAGAGAGAGAGAGATACTTTGATTGATTTTGTATTGGACTTGGAAGCAAGTTGGAACAAGGAACTGCTAAAATACTTGTATCGAATTGAATTGAACTGAATTGAATTGACGGGTACTTGGTTTTTCTGGTTTGATTGGAAGACGCAACGCAACATAAATATGCTGCTGCGTAATTTATATATGTTTTGGACATCCAACCATAAGCCGCCAACTGAGACCCAATTTTTCTGTCTGCGCAGTGTTATCTTTTTCGTCCCCCATTTGATTTACTATGTCAATTATAAAATAAATTAACTTTCAAGATACCTTTATTTACGGGGTTTACACTTCTTATGTGACATAAGATGATAATTTTTGCAATACACAAATTCAGGTGGGTCCCATTGAAAAATGGTAAATAAAAAATTAAAAATATTGACACGCAAAACGATGTGAGTGTAACATAAGAAGGCTCTTCTTATGTTGCATAAGAAGTATAAATCTCTTTATTTATATAGTGGTGGCAATATGGATTGGTTCGTCGTTAACCTCCGGGCAGATTAGCTCGTTACTAAATATGATTCACCCATCAATTAAAGGAATAATTAAAATTTAAAAATAAATTATATTTTATGAACTTTATAATTTTATTTTATTTCATATTTTTTTCTATCTCAATTTTAAATGTATATTAATATTCAGTTAAGCATTCTTTAGAAACTCATTTGTCTCCATATATAGATAATATTTGTCATAAATAAAATTTATATTCTTTATTTTTTTTAAGAAGTACTAAAATAAAAAAAAATTGAATATCACAAAAACTTAATAACAAATAAAATACTACTTAATTATAAAAAATTAATTATAATCTGGCGGGTCAACCTGCCCAGCGGTGGGTTAACCTGTTTTGACTCACTTTTAAGCGGGGCGGGTTGAAATGGGTTGGTGGATTGAAAACCTCAACCTAATCCACCCCGTTTTGGAGGGTTGACCTGCCGGGCTTAATCCATATTGCCACCTCTACCTTTGTTTTATATCCTTTAAAATATATTCTTTAATATTCTAGATAATATATGGGGCAGGATCGTTGTCAAAATTTGAAATTTGACATCAAATCTTAACTGTTAATTTTTGTCAATCAACGGCTATAATTTTCGTCAATTAAATTTATTAATTAATTATTAATTCTCAATGAAAGATAATCGTTGATTGGCGAAAATTAATAGTTAGAATTTGGTGTCAAATTTTAAAATTTGACACCAATGTCAAATGATCATATCTCTATTTGGGGCAGGATTCTTTAATACTGATGTCAAACTTTGAAATTTGACACTAAATTCTAATTGTTTATTTCTGTCAATCAATAATTATAATTTTTAACAATCAAATTTATTAATTAATTATTAATTTTTAATAAATAATAATCGTTGATCGACGAAAATCAACGTTTAAAATTTGACAATATTGGCGGCAGTATCCTTAAACAATATTATAGTCCAAGAATTATTTCAATCAATATCCAAGATGAAAGGCAAGATTGGGTATATGACAAGAGATAGAAACCAATCAATGAGGGTAGAAACGGTCGAAGTATTTCCAACATTTTATTTCCAAAAGAAGCTAGCATGGTTCAAATTGAGATAGGTAAGTAATTCTTTCCTTACTTTGAGGAACTCAATGCAGCGAGACTTAAGAGAAGGAGCGAATAATCTAAGTACTATGACGATTATGTAATGGGTTAAGGAGTGGGCAAGAGTAGTAGTCAAATTTGGTTGAGTTCATTTTATTATTTGTATTGGGTTTATTGTATTGAAGTCAGATACTTATTCCTTTTGTATTTGTTATTTTTGGTGGAATGGAATTATTGAAGAATGTTTAGCCTTCTTTCTTGCTTCTTCTTCTTTCTTTAACTTCCCTCTCTTCTTCCTCCCTCTCATACATTAATTAATTTTTCCAAATCCACTGCTCTATAATTTTTGTCGTTACAATTTTCTAGGCATTCCTGTTGCTTTGATTCCCGGAAAGAATTTTTTTTTTTTTTTTTTTTGGTTATTAAGGACTTAAAATGAGGTGCATTGGTCGGGGATAATAGCAATTGCATTCACCTATGCTTATGCCACGGTCAGTGGCTGAGCCAAATTTTATTTTGATGAGAGATGAAAATAAAAAATATTATATTATAAATAAAAGAAGTTACAATGCAATATAACAAATATTAAAACACAACTTCATTAATTTTTATTGGATGGAATATTATGTCTATTTTTTTCATGTTAGCTTTACATATTTCTCTACAATACCGTTACATTATAATCTCAATCGACTTTCATCCTTTCTCTCCTTTTACTATTAGTTAAGATTGTGAACTAATGATTACCAAAGAGATAAATAGAGTAAGTATGAAAAGGGTAGGCATAATATTCTATATCTTTTTTATTTTTTTAAGGGTTTGATCAAAATTCATTCAATTCCAAAGGACTATCATAAAGATTTTTACTCTATTTGTCCTAAAGTACACCACCTATTTTTAGTTTTTTATTTTTTTATTTTTTTGCTTTGATGTTGTTGCGACTTCGGCAAGTGCACCGGTCGTACAAGCAATAAAGTGGTAAAATAAAGTTGTCGATCCCACAAGGACTGATGACCAATCACTAATTTATCTATTTAATTAAAGTTGAATCAATCATGAAAGGTTTCCTTGAGAATATTTCAATTTAATTTAAACAGAATTTTTAAACTTATGTTTAGTTTTCAATATTTAAGAAATTAAATTCAGAATTAATAATACTAGAAAATTGATTTTAAGTTTTAATAAAAGTCGTAGCTAGGACTAGGGGTGTTCGCGGTCTGGATTGGATCGGTTTTGAAAGCAAAAATTATCTGATCCAATCTCTTCGGTTTGATCATGTCATCATCCATTCGGTTTGGATTTTTTTTAAATTCGATCCGATCCAATCCAATTTTTTTCGGTTTGGATTGGATCGGTTTTCGGTTTTTTTAAAATATTAAAATTTGTTTTCTGGTTATTGTGCAAATAATATTTTTTGTATAATAGGCTTTGTAAAAAAAAAATTAAACAGAAAAGTAAATAATAATATAGTTTTTTTTTTTGCAATGAGATATGAAGCTTTACACAAATAAATTTTTGTTGATGAGATGTGACTAGGTTTTTTCTTGGGTTTAGTTGATGGATTAATCGGTCTTGGGTTTAAAAAATTTTGGGCTATGATGGGAGGAAAGACCCAAGTAGATAGAGGGAAATTAATATATTGGATCGGTTTGGATTGGATCGGTTTTCATCAGCCCATCCGAAAACCGATCCAATCCAATTAAAATTTGCGGTTTTTATTCGGTTCTCGGTTTTTCGATTTTCGGTTTATTCGGTTCTCGGTTTTTCGGTTCGGTTACCGCGGTTTGAATCGGTTTGGATCGGTTGATGAACACTCCTAGCTAGGAGTCAACTTTCCCAATGTTTCCTTAACGAGTTTACCGATTCTTATAATTACATTCAAGATTAAGTTATTAACAGTTCTTTGTATATTTGATTAGACCTCAATCCCTTGGTAATCTGATCCTTTACTTCACTCAAAAGCCTAATCTCTTAGCACTTTTTCATAAAGCAAGCATTAGCGAGAACCTTACAGTTATAGAATTCATAAGTCTATCCCTAGATCATACAAATTCTAGCAATTAATCAATCGGGATCAAAACACCAACATACTTATTGTCATGCAAGATTCTAATGCCCATTTAAGATTGGCCAGATCATAAACGAGACTAGGAATTTAAAATATATTAATTGCATAACTTTAAATCAAGAATATAAATCATAAGAAAGGTAAACAGCGTATAAGAACCCATTGGTTCTGTCTCGCCCTAACTACTTAAAGAAAATTAGCCTGACATAGTCAGGAAAACAAGAACAATAGATGAAAAGAAACTAAAATTCATAAAAGGAAAATAAAACCCGGTCTCCACGGTGAAGCTTTGATCATTCCTCCGCTCCTCTTTCTTCTGAATGTGCTCCTTTTTAATTTGGACCAAGCTAGCTGAGGATTAATTTTGATTAATTCTTTATTTTTCTTGATCTTTATCCTTTGCAACTGATCCTAACTACCTTTTCCATCAGATCAGTGATTTGTTACATTGAACCTGAAACAATATGAAAGGGGATTAGAATCTTATCTAGTTGTTGGAATTTTAATATCTTTTGGGATTTATTAATTAACACTATATTCTTGATCATATTAATCATTATTTGAACTATATTTGACATTAAAAACATAGTGTCTTTGACACTTATCAGATGTTATGCCAAATTTATTTTTCAACCTTCGATTAATTTGAAAAAAAGGAACAATTAAAAAGAGTTGAGGTAAAAGAAGAAATTAAATAAGATAACAAAAATCAAATGATATTTTGTTGAGTCCCTCGAAAATCATGTGAAATATAGAGTTATTATCCATGGTACATTGTGGGTTGAGATATTTGGGGGAGAATGAGGTACATGTTATTTTGGTTGATATTATATCTTTTTCTTTTATAGCAATTTTTTTTTGTGTGTAAATGATCTAATATATGATCACCAACAAACGCTGACTAATCTAGATTCAAAACAGGTAGGACCAAAAAGGTGGCAAAACTCTTCCTACCAAGTTTTTAACTCAATTGTATACCCGTGGCTCGAACTCGAGACTAAGTTGGAATAACCACTATGTCAATTGATATGTGTTTGATGATATTTCTTTGAGAGTTGAGGCAGTCGTGGTTAAGTCGGAGATAGGTTTTCTTTAATTTTATTTTATTTTTTAATTTGAGGGAGGGGCTTACTATTACAATTAACAATCTACTAATATCATAAAAATATTATTATATTGTAATTAAAAAATTAAAATTTATGGAGGGGCGGCCACCAACCTTAGTCCCTCCTTATGGCTGCCCTTGACCATGATGTGTACAACCTCTACCTAAAATGTGGGGTGACTATAATAGCCCCAATATGATTAATTAGTAAATTACATGTAATTAAGTAATTAAGCGTGTATTAGTGGGTTAAAAGAACTTAAATGTCTAATTAAATGAATTAGGGTCACTTTTGAGATAAAAAGTGCAGTCAGTGAAAATTATGAGG